GCACACAAGTATTAGTAATACTAGTTTTTAGGATGTTCCCCACTGTTCATGCATTACAATATTCCCAAGCTATTTTTTTGGATCTCTGACAAGTTATTTATTTCATGAAATAAATTCAGAAGCCTTGGGTACTTGAGAATTGAATTATCTACTTCTGGATTTCATTATGAAAAGAATAGTTCTGAAGAATACACAGACTGCTATTCCCAGAGTGACCACAGAAAATCCTAAAACATTTGGGTAGGCTTTTAGGACAGAAGGCATGTCTCCTGGGCAGGCTTGAATCCCATGGCTTTTATTTTATTTGAGAAGCAGAGAGAATAGGGCAAGGGACAACAGGATGAGCGCAGCCAGGAGAGCTCTCTTTTCCCTCTACAATTCAATGTGGGGAGTGGGCAGTTCTGTGAGGTTTTAGCCACACACGACTAGGCCCTCATGCAATACAACAAGGAACATGGACAATGGCAAGGTAGAAAACCACCAAGGAAAGGAGGGAGAACAACACTGCAGAGTAACCTGGAACAGAGGGCCTGTGGCTAATCCATTCTAGTCACCTGTTGGTGGTTTTGACCCCTAACCCTAACTCTTCCCAGCAAGAAGAGTTTCCAATAACTCTTAAGAAATAGGTCACACCCCATATCCTCCCATGAACCAATGTTATGTTCCTCCCTGCTGCAGCACCACCAGTGGGGAGATGACCAAGGGGATCATCAACATCAGCTTTTTAAAAAGGGAGGAGGCTGCAGTAGGAATTGCACTGGTGGCCTCTTTTTGGCTCCAGGTCCTCTACAGCATAGGAATAATGCAGGTTATTCAAACAAAGTCACAAAATGCTTCATTTAAAATGGAAAGGAAGTGTTCCCTTTTATAAGCAAGGATAGTGTGCAAATACAGAATTCTGATCCTCTTGATAATGACTGTACTGATGCCTGCATTTGAAGTCCTGCATTGGCTACCAGCAGCTTACCTGGGAGAACAGAAGACATTGGTATGCCTCTAAAGCCCTAAATGCCTAGGGCCTGACTACTTCCCATTACAAACTTGCCTAGTTGCTAAATCAGCAGGAGAGGCCTTTTTGAACCAGAGGTCCACTCCCCACCATGGGAGACAGCCTTCACCTGTGTTGCCTCCAAGCTAAGGAACAAGCACCCTGGGCAATGCATTTGGTCCCCACCCTGCTCTCTCACTGTTTAGGAAATCTGTAAAGAACAATCTCTTTCACCCATCTTTTAACTGTTGGGTTATTTTAGTTCTTTATTATTGTTAATTTCTATCTGTGTTTTCAAATTTCTTATGTTCTATTTTGGTTTTTGTTTGCTGTCTTGCCAGAGAAGTATGGGTAACAATGAAATCAATCAAACAAATAGCAAAACTTACTGAATGGGCTGAGCCTCAGAGCTCTGTAGAGCCAGGTTTCTGTGCAGAACTTAGATAAATTCTGTGGGACTAGCAATGCCTGTTATACAATGATGCTTCTTTTCCAGATTTTCAGTTTTCATTGGTGTTTGTGTCAAAATTGCTGTTCTGCTCACACTGAAAATAGTAAACTATTTTGCTGTTGCAAGAGGTGGATCATACATCCAGATTTTTTTTCATAAACAGCTTTAGCATTTATAAACAGCTTTAGCATTTACAAAGACATTTGTAAGATCACTATGGCATGTACAGGTGGTCCTCGGGTTATGAGTTGTTCAGTGGGTGTTCAAACTTACGGCACTGAACAAGTGGTAGTTACAACTGGTCCTTGGAGTTCTGGCCGTCGCAATGTCCCCAAGGTCACATGATTAGAATTATGATGTTACAGCAAGCTGTGGTCATGTGATTACAATCTCCAACATTACCTACCAGCTTCCCACAAGCAAAGTCAAAGGGGAAGCTGGCAGGAAGTCAGAAGTCATGGTCATGTGAGGTCTTCACTTAAGGACACCAACCAGAACTGCCAGAGCTGCCGTCGCCCAGTGGTGTGGTCACGTGACATTGTGCTTTATGACTGTGTCGCTTAGCAATGGCAATTCCAGTCCCAATTGCCACTGTAAACCAAGAACTACCTGTAGTTGGGACAATGAGGACAATAGTATGGAACTGAGATCCAGACAGTAGGTTTCTCTGCACTGTTTAACTGTGCATTAGTGACATTTTAAGGTACACACACACACACACACACAGACATACCCTAGTTTGCTCAGGATAAGTAAGAAATTCTATTCTTTTGCTATGTAATTGTAATAAAAGAGCTGTAGTGGAGTTTAGTGATAAATGTACAGAGAAAGGCTGGAGATTACAGGACTAAAGCTGCATGCACATTCACAAAAACACACAAGAAGAAGCAAGACACATTGTAGCCTACCTCCCAGCCAGAGGCCTGATTGACAAAACAAAGGGGAGGGGGAAACAGAGAAAACAGGCAGAAGAAAGGTAGTTAATTCCTTGAAGCTCAGCATCCTCTAACCTCTAACTGATCAGTGGCTAGGCCCACGTGTATGTTTGAACTGAATTTACAGTACCTCTTTTCTAGGAATAGGGATGGGGGGGTGGGGAGAGGGTTAATTCTGCAATGCAAAATTCCCTACCTTTCTTAATGGAACAGCTAGAAATTGGCATTTTATGCCTAGCTTCATTCTGTCCATCCTTAAGATCTCAACAATGAAGAAAAAGTCAGTTGCAGGTTCTGACCATATAGCTTAGCATAGTGATTACCAATCTGAGACACTGAAATATTTATCTCAGGAGGTTGGCCCAGGAAAAAAGAACACCTTGGCTGAGGAAGCTACCTGAAATTAGCATGGTTCTCATTAGTTCCGAACTGTACTTTCTACCCTCGTCCATATTTATACAATGAAATGTATAGAAATAAATGGAATACTAATTATGAAAAATGAGATTTACAAGTTTTTATTCTCCTGCCCATCCATTTTTCTTTATGGAATCTATGATACGAAAAATTGATATCACACTAAAGCCATATGCCTCATTCCCCCCTTTCAAGGAACTCTTTTAGTTCTGACATTCAAACTGGTGTCACATAACTTCAGCTCTGATAATTTCTACTGAAGTTATCCAAATGGATTCAGTACTTTGGTTTTCAAATCATACTAACTAAACCATGGTGTGGCTTGCTTGGTTCCTATTTCATGTATTGAATGGAGCATAAACATTCTGGTTTATTTTACAGAACCACAGAATCATAGAATGTATGAGTCTGAAAGGACCTTACTGGTTCTCTAGCTCAACTCCTTGCTCAATGTAGGGATTCATTAACCACCTCTAACAAGGAGACATCCAATTCCCACTTGAAAAGCTACCGTATAAGGAAGCCCACCATTGTTCTAAGCAGAAGTTCCACTTAACAGCTCTTACCAAAAAGAAATTCATCCAAATAGCCAACCTAGGTCTCGTTTTCATTTCAACCTGTATGTCCTTGTCTCTCTCTTGGGCTTAATAGAAAACAAGTCACCCACTCTTGCACACGGCAGACTGTTATGTATTTGTACATAACTTAAGCGTTCTCTTTTGCAAGCTGAATGTATTCGGCTCCTTTAACTGTCTGTCATCGGGGCTTGTTTCCAGGCCCCTTATCATCTTGGTCTCTTTTGAACCTGCTCTAGCTTTTCCATGACCTTTTTAAAGTATAGTGCCTAGAACTGAATGCAACATTTCAACTGCAGTCTTACCAGTGCAGATCATTTCCTCCTGGTCCACATGCAATATTTCTGTTAATGCATTTCAAGATTAGATTGGCCTTTCATTTTGACAGTTAACAAACTACAGCTTAACGTGATGTGCCAACCTAGCTTGTGTTTAATTTTTGTGACACAGATAATAAAATGGAACATAAGACTGTTTGGGAAAGCATCCAAGGAGAGGAGTTAATGCTTCCTTTGATCATCACCCTAATTCACCTCCTCAAATGCAACAATAAAATATTACGACAAACCCTGCTACAGAATGTTCTCACCTGGCTAGTTATCTTGCTGAAAGCATCTTGCAGTTTGCCATGCAGAACTGCCAACTTCTTGAAGTCACGGTTTGCTTCATGGATGGGAATGAGGATTTTGTAGGTCTCATTGACAGCCTCATAAAGTCCACCCTAGGAAGAATGAAGCAGGAGTTCAGAGGGCACTGGAACCATTGGGATACCTCTGACAACTAAGAAGCAAGCAGCAAGGTGGCTGATAGAAGAAATGAGGGACAACTGGTATGTAGAAGCAGTCAGTGCTTCAATTAGCTGGATAAGTAGTCAGGTACTATAGGAACAGCTTAGGTAACACCTAAACAATGAGAGGCTTAAACTGAGAAGTTAGCAATTTCATAAAGCTAAATGACATCCACTTGGTTCCTGAAACCCCTAATCCCTTAGGATCAGAGCACTTTCCAGCCATCAGATTCCAGAATAAATCAGTCTAGTTGTCAGAGGCTTGAAAGAAGAACAATCTCTGGTCCACACCTTTGGCATATATGATAGCAGCAGCAGGAAAGAACTAGGAGCTCCACCAATGAAGGCTAGAGCTTTTGCAGACAGACTTTTTCTCTTCGTCACAGAGGCATGAAAACAAAAAATAGTAAAAATCAAGGCTACTTTGCAAAAGACTGGGAATGTTTCTCTCCTAAGGAATGTACCAAGACTGATCGAGGCTCCTTGAGGAATAATTTGTTTTGTTCCATGGAAGAAAGCATCTAATTGTTACTGTTATACAAACAACCATCTTCTGTCCTGATACTGGAAATGTATTGTGCAAAGTATAATTAGCTGAAATGTAGTACACAAAGATTTTTTGTTTGAATTTATTTTAAGGCATGATTTGGAGATAAAATGGACTGTACCCTTATTCGCAATTGCATGCTTTCACTGAAATCAATTGCGCTGACATGTCTAAAAGGGGGTTTACTTGAGCTACAGACTCTCCTGTGTAGGAGTCTAAGGCTAGAGAAGGGCTACCACAGACCCTTTAAGAACTGAAATCAACAACTAGCAGGAAAACATGCCAGCCTTTTTATGGTCTTAAATGCCAGCCAGTCCTTTTCTAGGACAACAGCTCTAACCATAATGTCCTGCTATTTGCTGTCCAAGGTACTGACAGCTCCTTGGGTTCTGACTCTGACGTGATGAAGTTCAGATTTATGTGACACATAAATCCATCAGGAGTGCTTTGCATCAGCCATGCTAACACAGACAAGAATCACTGCTGTTGGAAGGGCAAAAATTGTGCCATTCCCTGACCATTTGAAATCTTTCATACATCATTCCAAATGTTTAGCAAGCAAAATGGCTCAATTTGGGCATATGAAGCCATGACATGAACTGTTTTCCAAGCCTAAAAAGCCAAGCTGTTTTCTTGTCTGTTTTCCTGTTACTAGATCAGCCAGGTATCATTAAGGCAGTACGGAATGCTTTTGTATGTTGGAAATAAATGCACTGCTCTTGCCACCCTGTAAGCCCCAATCATGCCACATTTGAAGCTCTTACCAAAGTAAATGAAGAAGCTGCTTGCTCAAGCAACCCCACCAGCCCTTGTTCCGTGAAGTATTTTCCAGAGCAGATGCCCTCTTCATCTGGGGACAAGATGTCATCTGAAACTGCAGACTCTTCTAGTACATTGGAAGAGATGTTCTTGGAAACAGAGATGAATTATTGAGAGACTGAGTCAGAGAGAAACAGAACTCTTCTTACAGTCTCCCCTCTGCCAAAGCCCCTCAAACGGAGAGGAATAACTATCTAGAGTTGAGGTAGGCAATCTGGTCTTCTCCAGATATCTTGGCTGACAACTCCCATAATTCTTAGCCATTGACCATACTGTCTATAGCTCATAAACTGAATTCCAAAATATCTTTAGGGAATCACATTAAAGATCTTTGATCTACAACTTCAATGAAACATAGAGGTCTTACTAGGGCAGGGAGCATCTATGCTCTCTTTCCAGTTCTGTTGAGAGAACTTGGATGAGGAAAGTGAGAGTAAAGAGCTGGAACTTTTTCTTTCAACAGTAGACATGAAGGTACAGAGTGAATGAGGATTGGTGAGGCACTACTCTGATGCAGCAGGTCAGTCCTTTTACAGCAAATGCTCTCCTCTTGCCTCCTTTTCTTACCTGGAAAGTGACACAGCCCACAGGTAGGTAGCGGCAGTCTTCCAACATGCTAAGATATTCAGCTACCAGGGCAGCAGAATGCACCAAACACTGTGCTGCTTCTGCGTGGTTTCCACGTTCGGAATGCTTTGCTGCCATGTTCTGCAGCCATGTCAGCCTCAGATCTGGTGATGCCTGGTATCCCTTCGCTATCCTGAGAAGCAAGTTACAGTCAGGGACAAAAGTCTTGGCTTTTACACACGTCTACTAAACTAAGTGCCTTCCCCATCCTCCTACAGTATGTGAGGTGGAGACCCTGCCAGTGTTCTTGTCAGGAATATCTACAGGGTGATTCCTAGCGACATCACTGTGTTCTTTAGTTCCACTTTGCACCTTTTAAAAGCAGACACATTCAATGTTTTAAATGGAGGACAAGTGCTTTTTTGCTCATATTGGCTAACAACTTTTCCCAGCTGTTTGCCCTTCAGATGTCTTGGGTTGTAATTCCCTACCAGCAGAAACAATGGGAGTTCTAGCCCTAAACCTCTGAGAGGAGCTGTAGCCAGGTCATTCATCTAGGATAAAAATGAGAAAAGATCTTTCCAAATCCTTCTAATAATTTTCTCCTTTGATATTCCTTGACAGTTGTGCACTCCTTCCTTTCCAGGCTCAAAATGCCTGATGCATTTATATTCAAGACACGAAAATCCCAAGCCTCCCTCTTCCTTTCTATAATTAATTACTCAACATTGGCTATGACAGAGGTTGACCTGAATAAAACCAGTACTGAGAAACATCTCTTTTCTTGTTTAGAAAGCTTCAGCTCTTCTTGGTGGAGGCTCATAGTGGCTGCCAATATCCAACCAATGAACCAATACTAAATGTCCTTTCTGGACATTCCCTAAAAGGACAGTGAATCAAGTCAAAGACATCAGGATAGCTGCACCTGGAACTGGTTCCTTTTTCTTGATTCTCTGGGGAACATCCAGGGAAGAACAGAGGCTGGGAAAGTAAACTATTCTGGCTTTGGAGTTTTCGTATTCCTTTCTCTACTGAGGCACTGACTGTGACCTTACCTATACATCAAGTCTATCAGCATCTCTGGATCCTCCTGATGCTCCTTCATCTTCACTGTATCTGTCAGGATCATGTGCAGGTTAAAGACGAGATCTTGTACCTGAGCAGGAAAGGAGAAAGCAATTTCTATTAGCAACAATGGAAAACTATTTGTAAAATCCATGTAAATGTAATAGATACCAGCTTAGAAATGATTGCAGGAAAACAATTTTCTTTTTTGCTTTTAATCAGAGAAATCTTACTGTTTCATGCAAAATGTTTTTATTGCATGTCTATAATAAACAGAAACATATATCTCCATTATATTAGTACTAAATGTTTGGAAAGCCAAGTCTTTCCTTTTGCAAGCATAATATTAATATTCTGCATAACACCAACCACAAAACTGGTTATTATTCAGTCTTCAAGAACAGCTTTTATTTATATGAATAAACTTTTTTCTAAATTTTAAAACGCTGTAAATACATGGATTTTGTTCATGTATATTCAGTATCTGTTCCTTCCCCCAATCTCTCCCCAGATCAGGTCTCGCATCTGTGTTCTGAAAGTTTGGCATGCCCATTAAATACTGCCTTCCACGTTGCCCGTGGTCCCATTCTCCATTTCTTATTCATATAATAGTTACACCTCAGTATCTATCTTTCCTTAGATACTTCCCATGTACTTTCTTTGGGGTTTCCTTTATTTAAAGCTACTTATCTTATTTGGTTACAGATATCCATATGAAGATATAGTATACTACACAACACTCAAACAAAGGGACAGAACTCATGGCAAGAAGAGCAGAAGTAGCCAAATGCAATCTTTAAAAGTTCTTTGGCTCCTGAAGGAGAAGGTAGTATTTCTAGGCTGGCAATGCAAGTCAGAGCCCAAAGTCTTGCCCCAGACCTCTCGCTGGCAGTTCATGGGGGTGCCGGCAATGATACCTGCTCAGCAAAGGTTGTCTCTCGCAACTCTGGGTCTTCCTCAGCATAGGTAAGGATGGTTTTCAGTGAGCGCCGCAAGTGTTCCTCATTGAAGTTCTGAGAGGTTCCCACAAGTGATGAGAGTGACATGGTCACCTGCATCTTCACTCGGGCAAAGTTCTTTACAAGGAAGTTTCAAAAAGAGTGTTGGAAATCTTTAACGTCAACAAAATTTCAGACATACATAGAAAAGAAAAACCCTGCTTTCTTGATCATGTCTGGCCCCTTCAGCCTACCCACACAAGTCAAAAACCATTGAGGCAAATGCCCAGAGGTCTTAAGCACTTTGCAAACAAGCGCAAGGGAAATGGTGATGCCTCATTGCGTTTTGAAAGGGTGACATTTTCAGTGTCTATGAGAGCCACTGAAGAAAGGCAGCTAGGGCCTTGGGCTGCAATAAATATTTTATTGCTCATTTTTTTTACATAACACCATGCAGGTCAGCAAGCATGGTGACGTGGACAGGTTGCTGGGTTGGGACTGGGGAGACTCTGCTTCATGTCTCCCCTTGACATGAAGCTCATGGGATCAAGCACTGTATCTTAGCTCAACCTACCTTACAGGACTTTTTTTGGCAGGGGGGGACAATAAAATGGAAAGGCACAATATGTGCATGGCATATAAATGCATTATAAATGCAGTAAGCAGACAGATGAATAAACAATGCCCACAGTAACTTGTAAAGTAATGTAAAACAGCCCCAGGCCCAAAACACTGATAAATGAAGGGAAGAAAAATGAAAAATAGAGAAAAATATGGGCAGGCAATCTTTCTGGAATGAGTGAATCAATTCAGCTGCCCGGGTCCTGGCAGGTACCTGCCCTGCTGCTAAGGCAGCAGCTGCATGGGGGAACTGCCCTACCCATTAATGCTCCCACTCCCCCCTTCTTCCCAACAGCACTTACATTGCCAATCTCAAAATTCTGTCTCATAAGAAGGTACAGCGAGGTGCTTGCGTGGGTGCGGATGATGGCTACTCTGCTGCTACAATGGCGTAGAAGACGCAGGCACAGATCAGCACACAGTTCAGTGTCTTCCTCAAAAAGCATTTCAGGGAACTGTAAGCATAGGATTCAAGTTATCTTGATAACAATGGTAAAAACTGCCTTTCTTATGGCTGCAGATAAGCACTCTATTATTTTGTTATTTGTTTAATAGAAGTGGAAGGCCACCCAATTCTATAAGACTCTCTGCAGCTTACAACATTAAAATATATTTTAAAAAAATAACAAGAAATACAAACTATGTATGTCTGAAAAGATAATCTTTCAAACAAATGAAATCCTATAAGGGCTTAATACCCAACTTAACCCAAGGCCTGAGGGAACAGCCAGGTTTTCAGGGACTTCTTGAACATCACCAGAGTGGAAGCCATACAAATCTCTAGAGGGATGCTATTCCAGAGGTCAGGTACTGCAACAGAAAAGGCAATGTCCTGACAAATGACATCGTTTAATCAAGGGGGCTGGAGTGTACCCACTCTGCTTGTTGTACAGGATGGGCAGAAAGTACTGGAGATTCCACACAATTAGCATTAGTGAAATATACCACCCAATCATGTAACACTTCTAAAACCCAAGATATTAAAACATTCAGAACAATAAGATCTAATCCGTGCCTTTCACTGGACCTTGAACAATGTGACAGCCTCCTTATGTGAGCTGTTCCACATCTGGAGAACACTGCCTGAGGAAAACTGCTTCGGACAATAGGAGGCAAATCTCAGACAAGGAGGCATCTGGGCAAGCAAGATGTCCCCTAGCAGATGTTAAAGTCATAGGGCAGAAAGCACAGGGAGATGACAGCAGCTAGAAATCCAAAGGGCAGACAGGTTGTTCAGAAGAGGAGAGGACCCCTTCTTGTCTAAAGGCCTCCAAATGAAGCCAAAATGCTACCGGTCCACATCTGAGAAAAATGACCCTTGTGAAACTAGAAGGAACCGCATTTGGTGAGACTTTCCACACCAAGCAGACTCACCTTGCTCACCAGTGCTCTCTGGGTGGCAAAGCAGTGCTGCAAGAAGGCAGCACTAGGTGTACAGCCCATGCTGTGAAGAAGCACCCTCAGCACCCCACCCAGGACACTCTCCTTGGCTTCAGACAAGATCACTGTCTACAGGGGAGGGGAAGGAAGAAAAAATTGAATTTGTTAGATACCACTCCGGAATGAAGGAAACTGTACAGAAGCAGCGAAGGAGGGTTTCATGCTATCACACTCTATTCCAATGTAGGAGTAGAACTAAGAACAAAAATGACAGCTGCACAAGTAAATGAGATTCCCAACGTGTTCCAAGGAAACATTTTATCACGAGAAATGTAACATTTCTTCCATTAAAAAAAAGCCGTTTCCTATCTCACTTTAAACAGAGTTTCCTTTTGTAAAGCAGATGATAAATAAAACTATTTGGCACAACTTTTGAGAAGCACTACATTTCCTTTGATACAGAATTCCCTTGAAATACGGTGGAAACCAATTAAGTCCATTCTAAATTGTGGGATCCCTTTATAGTGTTTACGTCTAGGATATTGGTAAAAAAAGAAATACATCAAGATGCCAAACTCTGCTTGCAGGTGGAGAAGCCAACGTAAGGAACGGAGATCTCAGTTATGGCTAGAAATATGTGGGCTTAGAAGAACCTCTTCCTTATTCAGCAGGACTTGGTCTGGTTTTCCACTTAGTCAGATTGCCTCTTTCATCAGTAAAACTCAGAGAAGCTCCTGTTTGTCACAGACATGTTTTCCTTCTTAATGTCTGAGGAGTCCTTGGGGTTCTCTGAGCTTGGTTGTTTTCAGCACTGAAGATGTTACCTAGCCAGATAATGAAACATTTGCAAGAAAACAACCAAGCTCAGAGAACCCCAAGGACTCCTCAGTTCAACCTGAGCTACACATATTCCCTTCTATTGATTCTTAATGTCTGTGGTTCATCTTGGTTTCTGCATGCTCCCCATCCATCCTTTATCTTCAGGCCTTCCCAGCATATTAGTTTGATTTTGCTCTACTGTGTTTCTAAGAACCACCATAAGCAAGCAACAACCAAAGGTATTATTACAGAGATAGGAATTGTAATAAATATAGTACATTTTGGATCTGTTATCCATGTCTTTTGGGAAACTTTGTCTTTTTCTCTCTCACCACCTCCCCCATGATCATGAGCTAAAAATGCTAGATACATTTTGGGAAGCAGAATCCTTTCTCTTAAGGCCAGTTCTGAATGTTCCACAACAGATAGTGGTAACCCTCACATTTGGAGGACAAGACAGGTCTACTGAAACTCAAAGCTTTGTTGCAATGAGCCTTGTTGCAAGGCTGGATCTTACTTGCACAATAATTTCCAAGGTATCCAGCACCACCATGTTGGCCTCTGTGGCCATGTTTCCATCTACTAAAGCATCGTGTTCCATCTCTTCCTTTGACCTAAGAAAGTGATAAAGAAAGTGAACGTTAGGACATTTTGCATGACTAGGCATTAATCTAAGTTTGCAAAGTTATTTAGTTGTTTTCTGATCACTGTGCCACCCTATATAGCCTTCAGAGCCAAAGGGCAGAACTACCTTTTCCTAAAAAGGAGTTGTCCCCCCTGACATGTCATGTGAACGTAATTGGCTATCCCAAAACTGCTGGCTTATCCCTCCCCCAGAAAAATTAGGCTTATGAGTTCATGGAAGGCTATGGGCAGGGAAGCAAAAGTAAAAAAGCGCTTCTTGTCTGGTAATTTACCTTTTGGACTTGGCCTTTTCCTCCACAGATTTTTTTTTTTAAAGATTTTTACCAATTTCATGGACCATGCAACAAATTAAAATCATTTCACATTTAAAACTACAAGCCTTGAATACTGGTTGCTGGAACACGATGGGGATGTGACTGTAGAAGGGAACTATTGCTCTCTAGCCCTGACCTGTAAATTTCCCAAATGCATCCACTTGGCCACCATGATACAGAATGCTGGACTCAATGGGCCTTCTTATGCCCACACATTCAAGTTCAGTGAGAGGCTACTATTGTACGACTGAACCCAAGTTTGGTTCCTGTCATTGGGTAACTGCCTTAGTCATGACCATGAGTTAACTCATTTTGGGAAAGATAAAATTTGGGTTTTAAGAGGAATGAGGCAAGAGCTCAAAGAGAAAAGGCTGTGTTACTACTATTTGGGTCTGAAGGAAAACAATGAAACTCACAGAAAGAGGTGAAGTTAAGGCTAGGATCCCTATCTCCCAATTTCTGAACTGACTTGAAAAGTGAATCATTTCATTTTTTGTGTTATTTCCAGAGGCTTCAACTCATACAGCTGCTAGAATAAGAAATGCCCAATGAAGTGGCTCTGTAAGATAACGTGCAATCACCAAATCAACTTTTTCTCCCTCTTTGGAGGAAATGTGTACGTGTTATTAATAAATGAAAGGGAGGAGAAAAAGCTCCTCCTTCTCCAAAACTACACAGGACCACTCAGTGTGTATCACACCGACTCCCCAGCAGCAGAATGTGCAGATATGGATAAGAACTCTCCACCAGAATTGCCCACCAACGCACTTGTCCACCTTGTCCGAGTTCTGCCTCCAGTGAGCAATATTCTTCCTCCAGCGAACGTTTTCTTGGTTTCCAAAGGGACCGCGCTCTGCCGAGAAAGGGGAAAAGGGGCTGACTTTTACCGCTATATAAATACAAAACATGTTTTGAGGGGAAAGTGCTCAAATGATCAGCATGTTGCGCTCTGGGAGAGTCATCTGGGTTCTTGATTTTATTTCAGACAGAACTTATTTCAAATAGGACTGTCAGGCTTTATAATGGTGCAACACTGAAAATCAAGCTGTCTTTAATTATGGATCCATTTCCATACCACTACAACAAACAGAAACTTCTTTCTTATTTCTTTCCATTTGAACCCATCTAAAAAATAAGGAAAATCAAACCCAATGTGTTCATTTTCTTCAGGGAGAGAATCTTTAGTATCACGGACTACGTTTGCAATAAATGTGGCCCAGCAATGGCGGTCCATCTCGTGGGGAGAGGGAACTATGGAAGCAGAGTTGTGCTGGTGCCTCCCACTCCCCCATGCACTTTGGCTGGTCTCACCTCGACTGCGTCGAACCATTTCTTGACGTGCCCCGATAGTGCCTAAGATGGCTTCCTCCAATCGCGCTTTCATGTCCAGAGATTTTTTGAAGGTCAGACTATTGATGCGTTCAAAGGCCTTTTTGCCCTAGGGGATGGCATCAGTTCTCATTAAGCAAGGAGATACTTGACTGCAGGAGCAAGTTCTGCCAGCCAATTGCCCAGAGTTCTTCAGAAATAGGAACACAGCTTCTCACAGAACAAAGTAATCAAAGGCCTATTTCAAAAGGAGTTCAGCAGTGAACATCATGGTTCACTGGCTCCACCAAAGGTATTACTGGCTGAAGCCAAATCAGCTCACAATCCCAGCAGCAGTTACTCCAGAAAGTTGTCACATCTGTTTCACTAAGCCCATTTCAAGATTCCAGTTATAACACCATGTTCCCTCCCCACGTCCACTCACTGTCATCAACACTCCTTTTAAAAAAAAAATTTCAAGAGATTTCTCAATATTTTATGGAAATGCTAGTGGCATGGTGGCCAAATTAAATTATTTTAAGTCACTCGTCTAGTTTTTTTCCTGCATTTGTCTTCCCATCCAATTTCCACACAGAAGAGTCTGAGAAATTTCCTGACTTTTAGAAGATACATTAGTCTTTCCCATCCCTAAACAACCTGTTCTGCCCGAGACTTTGCGTTCATAATATTTAAGATCTGCACCTAACAACAAATAGCATAGCGCAAGGATAATGCTTGTCTTTATACATTCACTTTTGCTATCCTGCTACTTGACTTAGGTGAATTAATTATTTCGGTATTCATTCAAATACTTCATAGGCTAAATTACAATTATGTTTTTCTTAAAAGTTCAATACACTATTATATTTTTTCAGCTTTTCCTAAGCAGCATGTTGCTCTTAGACAAAGATTTCCAATACTCAGTTTAGGAGCTTGTGACAAAAATGCTTATTTTTGGCTTCCATACCAACTTCTAGAGAAACAGTATAGGAGCCAAAGACAGAATTCTTGTTTTTACCTCAGTCTTTGAAGCAGAGGAACCGGACCAAATTATAATTCTCAGATTCTTCTAACCTTGTATTCAAAGCAGGAGACACAGAGGTAGAGTAAGTCAAGTAGACGGTTCACATGGAAAGCCGAGAGGTCAGCCAGCCAACGATGTAGCACAGCTCCGTCAGCATTCTTCAGTACCCAGAGGAGACACACCAGGAGATTGCGACTTGCCTCAGCAGAAAGCATGCTGTACTGGCGGGAAGGCTGCAGACGATAAAAGCGACGTAGAACAGTTCGTGCAACAAACGCTAAACATGCCTTACACTGCGTGTGATTGAAGTTCATTGATTTAGTCAACTCTAATCGGAAGAACTGCTACAATCCAAAGGGGAGGGAAAAGAGTTGTATCTGAAGGGAAGGGCTATAGCTTGGTGGTTCAGCACATGCTTTGCTGGTACCAGTTCAATCCCTGGCACCTCCAGTTAGAAAAGGAAGACTCCTGACTGGAACCTGAAGCATCACTACCAGTCACAACCAAAAAGGATGGGCTAGCTGAACCAATGATCTAACTTGCTATATGGCACCTTAGTAACTCCTTTACCGCTTTTAGATGCCATCCAAATAAATGACCTCCACTTTGGTGCAGCAGCAACTGGAAAAGAAAAAGAAGAAAGTGGGGGAGATGGTGTTCCCAGAGAACAACGAGAAGTAAGATCTACTAATTAAACCCTCGTATAAAGCCTAACATGGAGGAAAGAAAATTGATTACGATCAATATAAATGGACTTAATCTGGCTATTAAAAGAAGGAAAGTATTTCATAAATTAGAGAAGTTAAAGT